AAAACGATAAACTAGTCTAAAAAATACACCAAAATATAAACACGGGAATTTTGACGTGGAAACCCAAATTGAGAGAAAACCACGGGCCTTTTTTGGCAGTACCTTGCCAACGGGGGATTTTTATTTATATTGGGGGTTGTACACGATACATGAATTTGGCTTGGAAGCCATTAATGCAAGCTTGAAGGCTTGCATGAGAAATAAATTACAAGTTCTCTAGAGAGAGAAAGAAATGTGGGCAGGGGAGAGAGGAAAGAGGCCTCCTTTAACATTGAGGGGGAGCCCTCCTTTTATAGGAGAGAGTCGGAGCATCTACGGAGGAATATTCTCTTATTCCTCTATTTTATTAAACAGGCTTGGTTTGACTGTTCTTCGTAAATAATTGGGAAATGTGGGCCGAGCCACGTATTATTTCCCATCAATAAGTCCTCCACTTTTTTAAGTTGTGAGAATCATCAACTTAAAAAAGTAAACAAGTCCTCCGAGTGCTATCTTCAATCTTCGTACTTTGAATTCTTGACCGGCTGATATTATTGCTAGTCCTCCAAGTCTTCATTAATTTTCCAATTTCTTGAATCAGAAGGTCTTCCTGCAAAAATAATATGAACACCATTTTTTTTGACCGGCCTATGCCGTGCTCAAATAATTATTATCTTTACCGAGGAGCTCGGTGTTAGAGTGGTTAAAATTCGCGTGAATAATTATCGTAACAAGAGCGATGTCAGTTCGATAAAGCAACGATGCTTCGAGTAGTTATACGACACCGGAGTTAGTACGATGAAGCGGCGGTGCTTCAAGTAGTTATTTCGTCGAGACCGATGTTAGTACGGATTAAGTAAACGATACATAGCGAAATTAGTATATCGAAGTAATCGATATTACTTAATACGAATTAAGTATGTTGCAGTAACTTTGTCGAAGATCGATGTTAGCCCGGCTAACTGATGCAAATATCTTCATGTCATGTAGAGACCACTTCCGGAGTGCCTTGTTCAAAGGGCCTGAAGAATCGGGCGTCCCCGATAAGGGCTCAGCTGAGCCACCGGTGTACCCAATTCGATTGGGGTCAGACTTACGAGAAAATATGTGCACTACCGGTGTGTATATCATTCTTGGCCTGTCTCGCGCACAAGAATGATATTTACCAGCGTGCCAGGCCGGGCCTGTGTCACATATTTTAATATTTTTTATTATACTGAGCAAGACCGGTGTAGTAACCAGCGTGCCAGGCCGGGCCTGTGTCTCAGTCTTCCTCTTTTTTTTAAATACTGAGCAAGACCGGTGTTGTAACCAGCGTACCAAGCTCGGCTTGTGTGTGAGTCTTCCCTCCGAATTCATTCCACCAATTATTGGTGGTAGACCCCAATGAGAAATAAGTGGGGAACTTATTTCCTCCTCCGCAATATTCAATGTCCATCTCCCACCAACATGATTAATTGATGGGCTCCATTGTGAAAATAAGTGAGGGAGTCCCTTTGTTGGTTTCTAAAGGGATAAGGAGTAAATGGCGTGAGCTTAAAATCCATGCACCAAAGTCCATTGGTGGGGCCTGCCCATATGTGAATTGCTCCATGATCGCCTTTCACAATCAAAATGGGAACTGGACTCTTGCTTTTGCCTTTGTAAAGAGCATCTGCTTTAATTGATCTCCCTGCGCAAAACGGTCTCCATTTGGGATTTTCCTTATGATCACATATGAATTTACACAATCAAGTTGATAATGAATCAACTTGTCTCCTTGTAGTTTCAGGCTTTCAACGGGGAAGGTGATGTAGATAAAGATAGCCTTCCAGCAGCGGCAAACGAGTTTCCCGACCACCGGCGTTGGCGGTGCAACCCAGTAGTAGTACGGGGGGTCTTATCTGCAACGGTAGTTGTTGGCTTCAGTGGCGACATGGGCGGACACCAATGGGGTGCGGTTTCATGACCTGGGTGGTGGTTCCATCAACCGGCGGCAGGTCGGCGGGTTTGCGCGACGGCAGCAGCGGGTTTGAGCAACCCCGTAGCAACAAATATGAACTTCTACAATAGAACCATGGCAGTGGCCGGTTCTGCACAGAGCAGATGGCCGGCCGTGGTGATGTACTCCGGCCACTTCAATTGACATTCAGCGGCGGTGATGGTTGAATTCGGCGTCCTTGGCGGCAATTCTAGCGGAGACCACAATGATGACGGTAGACTTTGGCGGTAAGGACAGCGGCATATGATCAGAATCCTTCAGAGGGAGGATGGGCAAAGGCACCCCCTTACAGCCGTAGATCTGTCACTGGTTTCTGGCGGCGGTGATCCGAATGGGATTCAGGGTATTTAATGGTCATCAGCGGAGAGAACCACAAATTCGGGTGAGTATTGCCCTCAACTATTTAGGATTGGGCGGTCTGCACGGGGCTGCTTGCGTCCATGGAGCAGATTCCAACGAGGGTAGCTGTCTCCGTAATTGTTTATGGCTTCCGTCGATGACGATGGGCGATGGCGATGGCGGTGGGAACTCATCTTCTCAACCGTGGTGGCGGTGTAGTGCCCGGAAGTCGGGCTGCGGCCAAAAATGGCGGCAGTGGCCAGATGCTTCTGCATGCTGTCGCGATCTCGATCCACTAGATGCTAGGTGTCGACAGCATCACTTGATTGCTCCTCTCCCCACGCTCCTCCAGCCCGTGGTAGATCTCAGGGCCGGCGAGGGGGGAAGCAGTGAGAGGCCTGATTGCGCAGTGTTAGACACGAGACGGAGCCCCGGCCAGCGCCCCCTTGGATATTGGCTTCTCTGCTTTGACGGCAACGATAATTTCCTCCGGTGGCGGGGTAACCCTGTGCGGTATTGAAGAGGCACGGAGGTCAGATTTCGGCACCCGGTCTAAATCTTTCCCCCATTTTCCAATGCAGTGAGAGGCTTCGTCGTCGTGGGGAGAGGAAAAATGGATCATTGTGTCCTTTGATTTCTGCGATTGAAAGTGGAGAGAAGAGGCAGGCAGCTCTGTTGGTGACGGATGAATACTTAGATCTGGTTCTCTCCCCCTTTTGTTTGATTGTGCAAAAATAAATTTTCACTTGGTTTTTCTTAGAACTTGGCTTGAACTCCCCCCTTTCTTACCGGGCAAGAGGCATATTTCAGAGAGAGAATCATGGCCTTTTGCTCGGTCACACGGGTGTCGCCAAAATGATGGTGTAAATTATCGACCGGTATACCGTTTTTAGTCCGGCTAAAACAATAAACTAGTCTAAAAAATACACCAAAATATAAACACGGGAATTTTGACGTGGAAACCCAAATCGGGAGAAAACCACGGGCCTTCTTTGGCGGTACCTTGCCAACGGGGGATTTTTATTTATATTGGGGGTTGTACACGATAGTACTTAAACCGAACCTTCGGTAATTACGTTCGAACTTCCGAACGTACTCTTTATTTAATGTTCAAGAGATCTCTCTCTTTCTTTACACCCGTCCCCTCTCTCCTTTCTCCGGAGGAAATTGTAACTCCCCCTCGGGAGGAAAATATCCAGAGAGTCGGAGCATCTACGGAGGAATATTCTCTTATTCCTCTATTTTATAAAACAGGCTTGGTTAGACTGTTCTTCGTAAATAATTGGAAAATGTGGGCCGAGCCACGTATTATTTCCCATCAGTCACTCTATGTTAAATTCAGGAATACGTTAATCACATTAATTACCATCTAATGCATTGTGAATTTATCTAAACTCATATATCACACATGAGTTATGCAATATGTTTTTCAAAAATTATTTTTTCTATTTTAAACATCTTGAAAACTCATGTAATTATTCTTGTTTGAGCCATTCAACCCAAACCTGATCATAAACGATCTGATCGAACACTAAAATATTCAAACCGAACCAAGAATTCAAACATCTCAACCCGACTCAAAGAAAATCAAACCAAACCCGACACTAGTCGGGTGGCGCGCATGATGTTGGTTCTGTTTCGTTTGACTTATTTTTTTTCTTTATTACTTATTCTTATTATAATGACTTACTCCCTCCGTAATTACACATGGAAGAGAAGATGTAAAGACTTACTCCCTCCGTCCCAAAAAGATTTACACATTTCAAAAAAATTGCGTCCCACAATCTCCTACTCATTTATATTAAAAAACCACTTTTACCATTTACTTTTTCAAACCCTACCTATCACATAATACCTTTTTTCTACTCCCTCCGTCCTATATTGATCTTCTCACTTCCTTTTTTTCCGTCCTAAAATCATCTTCCCACAAACTTTAAATGCATGTGTAATGACTATAAAAAGTTAAAATATTTATTACTCCACCCACCCTAACGCATGCCTTATCTTTCTTGAATCATTGCCCACCTCTCATTCTCTCATTTGACCTTATCTCTTCCTCTCCCCCATTCTTAAACTTCTCCGCCTCCTCTCATTTGAATCTCAGATTCCGCCGCTGACGGCGGTGTTGCGCGGAACCGTAGGAAGAGACCGCTGGAGCCAGTTCCGCCCAGGCAGAAAGGAGGGAGGGGGAAAGATGTTCTTGGCCCTTCAAGTGTCTCCGGCGGTGTCAGGAAGTTCCGGGGCGTAAGGCGACGACCTTGGGGAAAATGGGCTGCCGAGATCTGGGACCCGACCCGACGGGTTAGAGTTTGGTTGGGATATATGAAACGGCTGAGGAAGCCGCGGCGATCTACGACAAGCTCCGTGGGGTGGATGCGCTGACCAATTTCAGATTTTCGCCGGCAAAGTGTAAAAATTCACTCCCCTAAAAATGAACAAAAGTCAATATGGGAAGATTAATATAGGACGGAGGGAGTAATAATCTACACATCCTATTTTTACCCATCACATCAAGAGTATTTTTAGAAAGTCAATATAAAATTATCCCTCACTTAATTTCAACTTTAGTCAAAACGTGTAAATCTTTTTGGGACGGAGGAAGTATAATTCTTTCACCACAGAGAATAAAAAAGTATATGATCAAAGTCATCGCCACAGTCTGGAGAAAAAAGAAAAGGCGGGAACAAAAATCCGAGCTCCATTGACGACGACCGCATGGCGCCAAAGTCAAACTCACTCCCTGACGTTGACGGCGACGACCATCCATTTCCATTACCCTCCACGATAAACGGCTCCGTCCAGAAACTTCCGCCGTCAGCGACTGTTCCGTCACCCTCCGTCAAGGAGGCCGAGGAAGAAGAATAAGCTTCTCCGCTTGACGCCGGCCGTTGACCGGAGCTCTCTGTGATCCCGTCACGAGACGCCGGCGAGTGGTGGTCTTCGTTCTGGGACGAATTCTCGCCACCCTCGGATCTGCTAATTGATGAAGATGAAGATCCCGCCGGAGACCCCTTGTTTGGCTTTCGTCGGCGGCGTGACGGCGGCGGCGGCGGCCGCTCTTTAGACTGCTTCTTGAGAGAAGTGTGCCAGTAGTTTTTGACATCGTTGTCCGTTCTACCCGGTAATTTCGCTGCAATACTTGACCACCTGCAGTACATGTTTTTTTATTGACCATTATTAATAGGGAAATACTTGGTTCACAAACTCAAACTTCACAAATTTTACAAACTTACCATTTGTGAACTTCAATAAAGAAAATTAAATAGTGTAAAATAATTTTAAAATAAGAATTTAAACCATAAATAGTAAGTTTGTAGAGTTTGTGATTATTCTGTTTATGAACGTAGCATTGCTCAAAAGAATATATTTAAATTTAATTATAATGTCAATTCAATATTATTGAGTTCATCTAATTTTGTATGTAGTAACATATATTTATTTAAATTGAAGTATTTAATTTGTAGTTAAATACTGTCAAAATTTGACAAAAATCAAAACATGAAGATTAATTATTCTAACATTATTCATTTTATTCCATATTAACTTTTATTTGGACTTTTTAAATACATTAAAAAATAAATTAATGTAAATATATAACTTATGTCAATATTCATTCATTTTTCAATGTATCTGAAAAATAATAATGTACATGATAGAGCTTTAATTAATACACCCGTCAACACACTTATTTTAAAATGGAGTAAGTATGATGTAATTTTTAAATACATAAAATTTTTGTTTCTTTAACTTTACACTAACTTTTAAAAAAACTTAAAAAATGTTGAAAAATAACTAGGTATTAATCAACACATTTCTATAAAAAGAAATTAGTAAAGAATTTAAAAAATTGGAGGTATATGAAAAATCAAAGAAAATAGCCAAATAGGGAGTAGTTTTTTTTGTTACAAATAATGTAGGAAAAAACAAGAACAAAAGAATGTTGTAGCTAGTAACATACTTATTGCCTAAATGTTGATGCAAATTCAAGATTATTTGGTCCTCTTCTTTGCTAAACTTGCCACTTTTGATATCTGGTTTCAAGTAGTTCACCCATCTCAATCTGCAGCTCTTCCCACACCTCGCCAATCCTAATTTTCATTAAATTAAACCAAATCATTTCAATTCATTAACCACTTTAAAATTTTATGCTATATGAATTAAATTAAATCATATTTTAGAAATATTTTTTATAAAATGAATCTAATAAATTACTCCTCTAAATTAACCATTTTTATTTAAATAGTGATTAAGGATCTGTTTGAAAAAAACGTTAGACGTTAGCATTTTAAAAAAAATATCTTCAGTCAGTTTTAACGTTAGTGTTTTCAAACTTAATCTATACCGTTAAATTTTTATCCAAAACGCTAACGATAATCAAAATTCTATCTCAAGTGGCCCTAAAATTTGTTGGCCGTAAAAAGTCATAAATAGTAATTAGTACAATAATAAAATTTACCGGCGTATTTGGGGAGCTGCCTCCAATTCCTGCAGCCATATCTGGTAACATAATCAACTAATTTCCGGTCTTCCTCGGCGGTCCAACTCCCCTTACTAAACCCGGTCTTACCATCACAGTAACGGGTTCGTCCCATATTCTCCGGTTCGGAACTGTTAACCCGGCCGTGACGTGGTTCTTGACTCGTAAGGCCGCGTTTGGATGATTATAATACAGTGATAATTTACCGGTCGATGTTTCATTTGGGAAAATAATGGGTTCGGGGAGGAGGGGAATTTATAGCCCATTGACCCGACCGGGCGAGATGGACCGCCGTTGACTCCTCTTTTTCCGGTGTGGGTGTCAGACTAATGAAAGATTGAAATGAACGTCAAGGAACGTTCCAACTCCAAAGCCATACCTCCTGAAATGATATTCTCATTTGAATTTTTTCCGCGAAAATTTGTAAATTTTGCCCTCAATATATAGAAACAATTTGTTGTGTTTTGATATAAATATAATAACAATAGTTTTCTTATGAAAAGTTGTTTTGAAATATTAAATTTTAATCAAATTTATCCATGTATAAAAATATATATCAATGTTTAAAATGTTATATTAGAGACTGTAAAAAGTTAAATGAGAATATCATTTACGGAAAGAGTGAGTATATGACCTTTTTTAATTTAATATTTACCTAGGTTTAAAATGAGTGGCGGCGTTATCTCTATGCACTTTGATAAATTTACAAAGTGTAATTGAGCAAAAACCATGTTTTACTAGAGTCAGTAGCACTAGAAAAATAACAAGAACATCCAGTTATCAAACTTATTTAAAACTAACACTGTGTTTGGAAGGTTAGAAAATAGAGAGAAAGAAAATGTTAGGTGAGAAAACACTAAAATAAATGCAAATTCGCTTGTTTAGATATGTGAGAAAATGGGGGAAAGAGAGAAAATAAGAAGGATGGGATCGTGTGAAAAAAAATCTCACCATATATGATGAGAAAATCAATGAAAGGGCTCATTATCTCTTTCCAAATCTTTCCTATTTTCTTACTATTTTTCTATCAATCTAAAATTAAATAACGGTACAGTATGCATCCTATTGAGAATTTTATTTCTATTTTAACATTTTGTTTTGGTTTTTATTATCGTTATGAGAAAAATTAAAATTGACATATACAATTCGTTTGGCAACAAATTTTAGCGTTTGTAATTTGGAAATGACTATCTAACAGCAGCAGTTAGGTTGTCGTCTACAAAATTAATCGGTACTCCTAAAATAATTATGAAAACAATTTAATCAAAAGTGTTGTTCATGAACTTCTCTTCTGGCTTTGAGTGACAGAAAACACATTCTCCTGAATTCATGGAAAAGTTTACCCAGATTCGATTCCCAATGAAGGCGCATGCACTGATTCTTGGCGCGTCAGTTAGTTGAAAAAAGAAAGAACAGAAATGTAATCGAATCAATATCAATAAAAAAAATGATGCTCCTAAACAAGACCATAGTTTCTAATTCTAAACAAATTAGTGATTTGACTTTGGTGTTGAACAAAACATATTTTAATTTACCCTTACGAAAACATTTAATCTTAATTTTGATTTTTAGTCATATTTGAAATATATCACCCCGTAAGAAATTTCGATCCTATAATAATTAGGATCCATATCAAATGTGACACATTCAAAGTGACGAAATTCATCATTACTTATGTCACAAAGTTTATTCAAATTCATGGGTGTAATACCAAAAATCAAAATACTATGCCCTGGTTCACAATTGTAATGAAATAGTTACAGATAGAATGAGATGATGTCACGGATGGTGCCCATTTTTTCAAAACTAATTTATCATTCGACCTAAAAAAATAAAGAAAAAGTGTTCGAAACTAAAAAAAATTTTAAAAAAAAATATTTAGAGTGCGTTTAAAAGAAAGAATATAAATACTCCTTATTAAAGTACTACCTCCGTCCCAATTTATAACGCCTGTTTCGGTTTACGATGTTTGACTGAAATTATTTTCAAACCATTTTATATGACAAATGGTATAGAATTAAAAAATAAAAATTACATATAAAAAAAAACTACATCAAAAGATCTACAAAACTAGTAGTGACAATAATATTTTATTTTATCAAATTGCTAACGAAAATAGAGAAAGAAAGTAATAATAAACAGGCATTATAATTTGGGACGGAGGGAGTATTAATTTTATTTTAGGACTGACACAAAAAAGGAAATAAAAAGTATTAATTTTATTTTAGGACTGACACAAAAAAGATGATCCCATATTCCCATTGTTTATATTCACCAAGAGGGCCTTCTTAATTACCCTACTATATATAGGGGTGGACACGGTACGGTTCCGGTTCCGGAACCGCCGGTTCCGGTACCGCCACCCCGAGTAACCGGATAGTATACCGTGCCGGCCGGTACCGGTTCCGGTTCCCGGACCGGCGGTTCCGGTACCGGACCGGCCGGTTTCGCCCCCCCCCCCTATTTTTTTTTTAATTTTTAAATTATAAAAAATTGCAATTGTAAAATTGCAATTGTTTAAAAATTGCAATTGTTTAAGGAAAGAATGCAATTATTTCGCCCCCCACCTTCTTTTTTTTAACTTTTTTGCATTTCAAATCAAAAAAAAAAAAAATTATACCGGTACCGGAACCGGACCGGTACCGCCGGTACCGGTACCAAAAAATAGGTACCGGAACCGGTACCGAAAGTGGCGGTACCGGAACCGGTACCGAAAGTGGCGGTACCGGTACCGGTTGCCGGAACCGGTGACACGGCGACCGTACCGGTACCGTGTCCACCCCTAACTATATATGGTTATTGTTTATTTAGAATTTAGATAGAGAGAAATTGTGTTACTTATATGCTCATTACTTAAAAATGAAATAAAGTGGAAAGTGGTTTTCAGGACTTACGAAAAGGAAATGAGAAATGTTTTGTGGGACAGATTGATTATAAACAATAATAGTAATCCCGAATGACTTGTATATCAAAATCAAACAAGAGTACTATCTGTATCACTAACCTTCGCCCCACGCCGCACTCTTCTCAATATGCTGACCCGACTCGCCCGAGCTCCCGTATGCTGCAACTTCTTAACACCCTTCTTGTGCAACTTAGAACCCCCACTTCTCAGGGTCTCATTCTTCTGGTGCAATGCCTGTGATGTTTGCTTTGTTCCACACAGATGTCCAAAGAAGTACAAAGGGTTAGTGTAAGAAGGAGCTGAAGTGACAATGCCCTTAATATCAACTGGCTTCAGAAGTTTCACAAAGTCTTTTAGCTCAGAAAAACAAGAATGGTCAGAATATGGGACAGTATATATGTATTGATGGTATTTTTTGAAAATGTTCGGATCTATAACTGGAGGACCCAAAGGATGGTTATTTCCCTTGTCGTTTTTCGCTACCCATGGAAGTCCAGATGGCATGATTCCGATTGTTGGACGCATTCTATTCAGACCTTCTAGAGTCTCGATGCTAAAACTGTAACGAGGAATCGCACGGACTCTGGTGAGAGAAGTTTTTGTTGTGAAGATGTCATGGAAACCGAGCAGGTGCATGGTCTGCAGGCGCTCCGGCCACACCCATATCTGTAACAAATTTGGAACGAAACAAATGAAGGTGAATAGAGAGTATGAATGAAACAGGGGTTGGGTTGGGGAGGGTTTGTGGGGGGGGGGGGGGG